TCAAGATCTAGGTTTTTGGAAAGATTTAAAGAGAGAGAGGGGAATGAAAAAGTGAACTAAAAAGTCATCTTCACAAACTAATATACACGCAGTCCGCTCGAGCGCAAGAAATAACGCTCAAGCGCTAGACACATAGTTTTGCTTGAGCGCAAGAAGTGACGCTCGAGCGCAGAATACACACTTTCAGAAGTTTTGCAAACGAAGGACATTGCTCGAGCTTAAGATGGGCCGCTCGAGCGTCCACCCGCTCGGGCATGGAATACACTCTTCTAGTATATTGCAGGTCTGCAAAAATATTGAGGGTCTGCAAAGCCCACACCAGTGCAAGAAGTGACGCTCAAGTGAAGGAGCAAAAATCTGGACAACAAAGGTTTGAAAATCAAGCAACCAACCTATTCCAAAGAAGACCAATACAATCCAATAACCAAATTTAAGGAAGAATAAGAGGGAAAAGACATAAACAACCATACGAGGCTACAAAATCCGAGTCCAAAATACAAAATGGGTCGGGTCTAAACCAGTAACGCTATATAAACTAAAAGCATCTCCAACGGTTCAGTATTTTTTTCATCAAATCTGAGTAAAAATCCTCAATTTGATATGAGTTGTTCCAATTGGTGCACTGTTGCTTGCATCAAAAGGCAGGGACGTCTGGCAAGACGACCAGCCGGTCGACCAAACAAGGCACTGAAAAAAAAATTTCCTCCCATTTTTGTTTCCCAATTCATTTCTCATTTCTTTTTTCCTATATTAAATATTTTCCTTTCCTGGTTAATCTACACTGAATATTGTGTTTGAATCTTAGATTTGGGTAATAAAAAGAAAAATGAAAAGGTAAGAAAAGAAAAGAAAAGAAAGTGAAGATGGATGAATTTCTAGTTGGGTTAGGAAAGTGAGAAAAAATTCAATAGATAGAAAAATGGTGAATGAGCTAGATCAAGATTATTTATCTGCTACGATGGGTTATTTACTAACAATGCCTCATTTAGCATATTGGGTTTATAAAATATTGAAAGAAGTAACACAAATTTTGAAAATTTAAACTAGCACCTCACCATTTTTCATTTCTCCTTCTTTTTATTGGCCTCTATTTTTACCAGAAAATGAAGGCTCTAAGATGGGTTTTTTTGGAAACTGCTAAAGATTTTATTTTGGCAACCCATATATAAAATGTATTGAAGAAAAAGAAGAAGAATTGTGGTTTAGTTGTTGGTTTGGCTCTCTTTCTTGACTAATTTTTGGTTAAGTTTGTGCTAATATGAACAATGTATAATATGAGCAATGTATGTGAGAGTGACTACGCTAAACAGGGAAGTGAACTGTTGAGACATGGTTTTGTAGAGTGGAGGGTAGAGTCTAGAGAGGTGGGGTTCCTGTGAGGATCTGAGAGAGAGAGAGAGAGATAGAGAGAGAGAGAGAGAGAAGGGGGGGCCAAAATGGAAGACTCTTTGCTTAAAGTGTCAACCCAGTTCGCAGGCCAAGCATGGCTGCAGCTCTGCATTTTCTGTCTAAACCGAACGACCGGTGGGACAACCGGCCGGACGATTGTTCGGTGAGACCCACCTCCAACGTAAGCGCATAGTGAAATAGTGAAATCAGACCCAGCTCTTCAATTTGGTGAAAATTTTGCTCCATTCTCAATTTGATACTATTTTGATGAAATCATTGGAGCCAAAAAAGACCAAATTCAAATTTGGTGATAACCGTTAGAGATGGTCTAAGTAATGATGCATATTAAGAGGATTGATGGTATGTAAATAGAATCACCCTTTATGAGCTTGTTTGGGAAGAACGTTTTGGCTGAAATAGCCATAAAAGAAAAAATAAGTTATTTTAGTCAAATAGAACAAAATATCACATCCAATCCATAATTATTTTATTGTCTCTCATAAAAGTCAAAAAAGGTCAAAAAAATCTATCCCAAACAAGTCTTTTTAGCCTTAACCTAAAAAAGTCAAAAAGTTAAAAAGACAATCTACATCCCAAACGAACTCTATATTTACCCTAAAATTTATAATTTCAAACTAAATTAATATAAATTTTTTAAAAAAATGAAATCAAAAATTTTAAATTAATCATAGTCACAGCTCAGTCGTTGATTTCAACTTCCAAATAAAATAAAATAAATAAAATAAAATAAAAAGTCAAATCATTCGTAGGCTGTGATTCGATGCCAAGTCAGTAGGTCCCTTAAACTGATGTTAATTGAATATTAATGATTTACACGTAAAGCTGACTCATCTTAAAGTAGTGGGCGCGTGTATTTTTGTAAAAACCTGAAAAATAAAAATAAAAACAAAATGCTTGCTAACAATTTTATTTTATTTTTTTTGGGGAGGGGAAATTACCACTCAGGAATAATTTTAAAAAATTATTATACATTAATGAAAATTTTTATAATTTTAATTATTAATATTACTATTTATTTATAATTATTTTTTCTTACACCCACTAGTATGCTATTTCTGCTTTTTTTATTGCTATAATTTGTCTATTTTGTTGGCTTGGTTATAGTTCTAATTGGATCTATTTTGCTTCTAATTTTCAACATTTTATCATTTTAATTTGATTGATAATATTCGTTAAAAAACTAGATATAAATTAAAGATAAAATAGTCTACTTATAAAAAAAATTCCATTTTTAAATTAGACATCAATTCCTCAATCATTTTGAGAAGAATGAATGAATTGTTTTATTTCCCTAGATTTCAACCCAAATTCTAAAAAAGTGCTTATCAATCAAACTAAATTATCACAATATGAAAAATTAAAAATTAAAAATGATGTAATTAGAACCAGTAGCGGTAAAAATAGGACATAGACTATTGGAATTGAACTCAACTTTGATTTTATTTACCACATTTCCAAGAACATGATGATACCTGAAAATTTATGCATTCAAACATCATTTAATAGTGATTCTAACTTAAGGTAATAATTCGACGCTCATACTAAATGATCCACATGTTAAATGAGTCGTATAAAGAGCTAGCTATAATTTTTTAATTTTTTTTTATGTGGATCTTGTGGAACTTGGATGTAGAAGTGGCTTTGATAAAGAGCTAGTCAATGAGGAAATAATAAAAATATTTTTGTTTCACATCAGAAATGGTTCTAATAACCCAAATTGACTGTAATCCATGCAATTTGGTTACTGAAAGCATAGTGTTTACAACAAATTTGTAGTTTTCAAATCAAAAGCACTCTGGATGCATTCTACTATATATTGCTTTTGTATATGGACTGGTTATTCATATTTCATTCATTTTATATGTTGCCAATACTTGCTAAAGCACACTGATGTTACAGTCCTATATAAAGATATTCAATGTCATTCCCCCCGTTTGGTAGAGCTGTGAGAAAGTGATTATAGATTATAGTTTAACAGATTATAGCTTACAGCTGTGAGTATAAGCTAATAACTTGTTTAGTGTAGCTGTGGAATTATAGATTTAAGCAGTAGAGTAGTGTTTGGTAAATAAGCTAAAATAACTTTTTGCTGTATAATTGTCATTTTTGCCCTTATAAATATAAAATTTGTAATTTTGTCATTTTCTTCACTTTAAATTTTTAAAAAAAGTTATTTCATTAATGGAAGTTGATTAATTAGTACCTAATTTGGTACATTTTTACATTATCTCAATTTTATTTTATTTTATTTTATAATAGTATGATATTTGGAATCAAACCAAGGGCTGATTTCAACAAAACTCAGAATATTAGAGTAGAAGAATAGAAGAAGAGAAGAAGAGAAGGGAAGAATATACCTCAGTCGCCGTCGCCATTGCTTGTCGCTCGTCGCTCGCCGCCGGTCGAAGGATGGAGACATATTCCCTAAATCGAGAGGGAGGGTTGGCTGGAAGGGCATATTCCCTAAATCGATGTGTATATCTAATATGTATATCCATATATAACAAAACATAGGGTTTAGGGTTTCAAATCTTACTTTTTGGTGAAGATCAATAGAAAACAAGGACGATCGCCGACGATCTTCGATGTGTGGAGCAGTTCTTAAGTTTTGGAGGGACATTTAAGTCATTTTGCCCCTCCATGATCAGTTGCGCGCATAAGCTAATTTGATAAGCACCCTTGGAGAAACTTTGAGATTTAAGCTAAAAATGGCTTAAATTAAGCTATAATCCATGCCTTATAAGTTGTACCAAACACACCAACATAGCTTAATTTAAGCCAAAACCTGATTTAAGTTGAAAAAAATATTTGCCAAACAGGCACTACATAAGATTGTTTGTAAAATTGATAATAAGAAAGCAAAAGCGTGTGTTTGGTTTGGCTTTGAGAGATGAGCTTTGGAAAAAAAAATTCAAAAAATTGTTTGGTTTGAGATTTTTCTCAAAAAAAAATTTGAAATCACTTTCTCTATCTTACACATCAATCAATTACTTTTTCTCTCTCATTTCTCCTTCTCAATCACTTTTTCTCTCACACGCATATACTCAATTATAACAAAATATCAAATCATCTCAAACTCCAAAATTACTTTCAAAATATATAACCAAACAAACCAATAAAAATTCTAAACTCTCTCCCTAATTTTTTTTTTTTTTTTTTGAAAATCACTCTCTCAAAATCAAACCAAACACACCCTTTTCCCAAACTTTTAAAAACAATCATCACAAAAAATTAAGTAAAAATTGCACTAAAAATAAATTTTTAAATCTAAGAAAAAGTTATAAGTAGTCTCATAAGTTCTTCCAAACAGAGCGGTTGAAATGTAATCAAGATGTACTAGTTAAGTTTTTAAATTGTTAATTATTAAATATATATATCCATGAAAATAAAAAAATAAAAATCTTCCTAATGACTTTTCTTGCACGCGCCGAAGTGAGAGTAGAACTAATCTATAATCACGTTTATTAAATGGTTCGTTTTTGACCCTTTTTAATGGGACAGAAATGTATATCCAACCAAACAAATATTTATTTTTCAGTTCAGGACTCCAAACTTTCCTAATATCTAGGAAGGACTTTTTTATAGCACTATAAATACCCTCAATTCTCGCAACAGTTCCATACACACATTCAAAACAGCTCTTTTGCTTCTGTTTTCTTTGTTTTGTGCTGTCATTCCTTTTCAACATTGTTGGCAACATGACTATCCTCATTGAGCAGCCTGATCTGGGTAACATAATGTTCTTATTGTTTCTGTTTTTATAAAACATGTTTTTTTTGTTAACATTTTGGGTACATACTTTGATGGTTGTCATGTTCAGTATAAAAAATCAATTTCATAAAATATTTTTAATTTTGTTGACAGGTTTACAGGGGGAGGATAAGAGGGTTCCTTTTGATAACAATGACTTGGTTTTGGATGGAGGATTTCCAGTTCCAAAATCTATGCAAGATGCAGGGTTTGAGGCTCCAGAGATCAATTCATTTGGCCACTCATTCAGGTCAGTTTTTTTTTTTTTTTTTTTTTGTGAGAATTTTTTGCATATCACTAAAAATTAACAATTAGTGACTTTTTGTCACGATTTTTATAAATTGTTGTTAAAACTTGCAATTAGTGAAGTTTTTTTGTGACGAATTTTTTAAACTGTTGCTGAAAGTTGAAAATTAGTGGCTTTTTTTTGTGATGATTTTTTTTTAAACTGTTGCTAAAACTTATAATTAATGACATTTTTTGTGACAATTTTCAAACTGCCATTGAAAATTAACAATTAGTATTTGATGAAAACGCTATTAATTATCATAGGACCTATTGGACAAAAAGTCCACCTGTTAAGACCTACAAGAAAGTCTTCCAAAAATTAACAAAATTCAAAATATTTTTAAACTTGATTTGTTTATATATATATTGAGCCGATCTTGAATCCACTTTTCATGAGTTGAGCATGCGTAAAGCTCAAGTAACTCGGTTCGTTTTATAGCCCTAGTTGTAATACTTGAATCCGAACATCACACCTGGGAAAGGGAGTATCAAATTTAAAAGGCCAACCCTTGGTCTTGATTCGGTTGAAGTTCCAATTTGGTGCCCACATAAATTGGTGTTCATGGGATGAATTCTATGTTTCTAACCTGAGAAAGCTTGACAGGGACTACAATGCCGAGAGTGAAAGACAACAGACAGTTGAGGAATTCTATAGAGTGAATCACATTAACCAAACATATGATTTTGTAAGTTTCAACATTGTTTTAGTAATTTGTTATCCAAGCAAACACTGACCCTATTTGATAGTATTTTATAAACAAATCAATGGAAAATTCAAACACACTCACCGTTTTCATTTGTGTGAAAATATTTTTCAAAATTCAAAAAGTAATTTAGAAAGGTTTCTTGAGATTGATATTTTCAAAAAAAAAATTCCAAAATACAAATTTCTTGCATCAATTTCCTCTTTTTTTTTCTTTTTTTCTTTTTTTCAGTAACAGAAAATGAAAACAAATATAGGTGAAGAGGATGAGGGAAGAGTATGGGAAGTTGGATAAAGTGGACATGAGCATTTGGGAATGCTGTGAACTTCTCAATGATGTTGTGGACGATAGCGATCCAGATTTGGATGAGCCTCAAATCGAGCACTTGTTGCAGACAGCTGAGGCAATTAGAAAGGACTATCCTGACGAAGATTGGTTGCACCTAACTGGACTTATTCATGGTACACATTGTACTTAGTAGTTGTTCTTTGTATCCTCCTGAAAAATGTTTTTGTAAGAAAATGTTTTTTGTCGAAATAAACGAATAGAAACTCGACTAATCTACTCATAAATGGCCAAGACCCTTCTAGTGGATTAAAACCTAATTTGATGTTATATGGTTTCAGATCTTGGAAAAGTTCTTCTTCATCCTAGCTTTGGGGGCCTTCCTCAATGGGCTGTTGTTGGTGAGTGTTTTGTTATGAGTTACGACAACTTAAATAATATGTGATCATGCGTTTGGCATCATTTTCATTTTTATGTTATGCAAAAAAAAAAAGAAAAAAAAAAGTCACTTTAAACTTATTTACAAACTATTTTGGAAAAATCAAGATAACCTTTCACTGTTTTTGACATTACAGGTGACACCTTCCCTCTGGGGTGTGCTTTCGACAAATCGATTGTTCATCACAAGGTGTGCTTCCTCAATTTTAAACCTTATCTTGTAGAATAAATTATACATGATTTTAATTAACAATTTTATTCTAAGAAAAATGAATAAATACTTTTTATGCAGTATTTCGAGCACAATCCAGATTCAAAAAATCCTGTTTACAACACTGAAAATGGAATTTATGTGGAAGGTTGTGGCCTAGACAACGTAATGATATCATGGGGGCATGATGATTACATGTATTTGGTATGTGCTTCAAGTAATTAGTTTAATTTAGATATTTAATACTATAAAAACTTCTTGTTAATCTAACTTCAATTTCAAATTTTTAGGTGGCTAAGGAAAATGGATCAACTCTGCCTCCAGCTGCATTGTTCATCATCCGATACCACTCTTTTTATCGTAAGCATTTATGCTAAATTTTTTTAATTCCAAAAATTAGTTTTTTAATTAACATGTTTAACATGAAGATCTGAATAATTCATCTTGCAGCATTACATAAGTCAGGAGCATACACGCATTTAATGAATGAGGATGATGTTGAGAATTTAAAGTGGCTAAAAATTTTCAAGTAATCCCTCTTTCTTTCTAGCATTTTATTTTAATTGCATATTTTATGCAGATATGACTAACAAAGTTTAATATTGTTTACAAACTTTTTAAATTTATGTAGCAAATATGATCTCTACAGTAAGAGCAAAGTTCACATTGATGTCGAGAAGGTCAAGCCATATTATCTTTCTCTCATTGAGAAGGTGGGTATTGCTCTAATTGAGAACTTACGTGCACAAAATCAGTCACAGAATGATGACTATTTTGTAACCAATTTCTATGCGCATCTCCTTTTCAAAATTGGTCTTGCAACACTCTCAAGGAGCACCTTACGAGTGTTATGTTACTGGTTTCTATGAATGTCTATTTTTTTGAAACTTTTTTCATCTTGATGTTTCGTATTCTTAATTAGAGATTTTTGTTGCAGTATTTCCCGGCGAAGCTGAGATGGTGAATGTTCCAAATTGAAGACACATTATTTGAGATATTAACGAATTTGTTATTGCGCTTGATTTGTGCACAAATAACACACAACAGAAATACGTGAGTGTGATGTAATTCCTCTAATTTTATCCAGAAATTTCTATCAATAAATGATGTACAATGCATTTGGTGGAATTAAATTTCATTCCTTTAGCATTTTTTCAAATTCTACTTGACTAGCTTTGATTTTATTTTTATTTTTTTTAATCGGCAAAATAAATCTTTATTAATGAAAACATATAAAGTATAATAAAGTATATCAATAAAGAGAAGCTCGGAGCTAGCTCAAGCTCCAAACTCCAGTTGGTGAGAAACCAACAAGCGAAATACAGCCAGAACAAACCAGTAGCAAAATAAGCGTAAACTACGAAATTACAGCCACAACTAAGCAAACCAACCACTAGCAATCCAACCATTAGCAATCAGCAAGAGCAGCAGAAACAAATCAACCAAGACTAGCAGCAGCAATCAGCAATCAGCGGCAGATCAACCAAGAGAAGCAGAAACAAAAACAGAAATAGATTACCAGAAGCAGAAATAGAGTACCAAGACTAACAGATTAGAGTTGTTCAGCTTTTCCAAAACAGAGCAGCAATCTAACAGATTACCAAAGCAAAGCATGACCAGAACCTATCAACCTAACACCTGGTTGACACCAATTGATTCAACATCTAATTTGATTCCACTTGAACATATAATCATCAACTGAGAAAGGAAAGTCCTTTGTAGATGCTTTAAGCCAGAGAACAGTTCTGGTTTTGATGAGTTCATATAGACCTGAGGAATTGGGTTGTGACATAAAGAAGACACACTCATTCCTATGTTTCCAGAGAGACCACAGAACAGCTAAGGGTATCGCATTCCAGATTTTCTTTTCAAGTCTCTTAAATTTTCCACCCATCCACCAATTGAAAAGACCTTCAACTAATCCTTGAAGGCACCAATTAAAACCCCAATCATGTATCACTGATGACTAGATAAACCAGGAGAAGGGGCAGTGCAACAAGACATGAATAGCAGTTTCAACTTCAGTGGTACAGAATGGGCAGATGGAGGATGCACTGCTGCTTAAAATGTCTATTCTGTGCAAAAACTCTGCAGACTTTATTCTGTTTTTCCAAGCTAGCCAACCAAAAAAGAGAACTTTGGGGGGAAAAGCATTGTACTAGACTTACTAATTCTGAGTTGAGGGCCAAGCAGAGAGCTACTGAAAGAATAAAGAGCAGAGACAGAGAAAGAACCATTAGTGCAAACTTGACAAGCCACACTGTCAGGACACAGAAGAGGAGAAGAGGATAAGGCATTAACAAGTCTGTTTTCTTCAAGTAATTCCCAAGCATAAAGCTCTCTTCTATACTGAAAATTCCAATTATCTGAGCTGGATTTCCTGTGGTAAAAATGATGAAGGGATCCTTTCTTGACAATAGAAAGGTTGTAGAGAAGAGGGAATTCTGATTTAAAGCAAAGTCCTTCACACCACTTGTCATGACAAAATGAGATTCTAGACCCATTCCCCACTTTAAGTAGACAATTATCCAAATAGAAGTTGAAGATATTCCTACTATAGGCCCCAATGGAGATAATGTCAGTCCACAATCTAGAATGTTTATAATGGGATCTCAGTGGAGGATGCCAACAATTTTCCTTGATTTTATACTTGCTACAAATAGCCCTTCTTCAGAGTGCATTGACTTGATTCCCAAATTTCCACCACTATTTGAGTAGTAAACAAGTATTCACATCTCTAATCCTTCTTATACCCAGATACCCTTGATTGACACTCTTTGTTACCTCCACCCATTTCACTAGATGAACTTTTCTCTTTAGATCATTGCCACCCTACAGAAACACAGCTTCAATCTTCTCTATTTCTCTAGCAACTCCTTCGGACATCTTGAATAGAGAGAGGTAGTACACAAGGAGATTGGATAGATCAGATTTTATCAAGGTTAGACTTGACTAGCTTTGATGATGAGCAATATAATAATCTTCCTCCAAAATTTTATTGCTTTTGATGCCAAGAAAATTCAAGAGACCTAAGAGAGAAAGAGAGTTCATGTAGTGGATGAATGTTTACCGAGCGTTTTCAATGGTGAAGTTAGAAAAAATTATTCCAAGTAGCAACCATTAATGATAACCTTTTTTTTTTCTTCATAATCAACAATAATAAAATGATGCAAACTATTCAAGCTAATAATATACCCAAAAACCGTTTCTCGTGTGTATTTTTAAAATTGATTCCAACGAGTTTTCATCTTTTGAATGCTTTGCTTGATATTAATATTAATATTAATGCAATAGAAAAATGTCCCCTTCTAAGTATAATCAACATATAACATTTTAAGTAATGTCATAATCATTGTAGTTCACATATTCACATATATCCAAATCACAATTCAATAATCCTGATTTATGGGATTAATGGAGGGGATTTAGTTGATAAAATAAAAGAGGGTGCGTAAAAGTTTAAGGGGCATATATAAATTTTTAGGATTGACAAATTGAAGAACTATTTATCCTTCTTGGGCCTATTATAGATCTGCCACTGGGATGATACCCAGGTTCAAGTTTCCTCTTATGTTTAATGCAACATTCCCTTCCCCTAATTACCAAGCTCGACTAATTATCCACTTACGTTTCATTTGGAAAGGGTTGGTTTTTTAGCTTTTTTGGCTATTTTAGCCTCGGCTAAAAAGCTTAGTTTGGGAAGGATTTTTCGGATTTTTATCTTTTTTTGTGAGAGAAGAGTGTAATGATTATGAGTTAGATGTGATGTTTTGTTTGTTGTAGTTAAAATAGCGTATTTTGTCTTTTGTAACTAAAATAGCCAAAAAAAACCCATAAACCATCTTCCCAAACGGAGCTTTATTGTGTTGCTTTTAGGGGGCAGAGTTGAGGAAGGTCAACAATGAATGAATGGTTTGCATGCCCAAAGACTGGGAAAGATAAACTAAAATGATTCGTTTGGCAAGAAGAGTTTGGGGCTTTTTTGGCTATTTTAGCCTAGTGTGCAACGTGATCTAGTTTGTCAATCACACGGACAAATGGCCCAACCTATATGCTCGCCGGTTGTTGCAAAAAATAACTTGGCGCACACATAAAGACACAAACAATTTCGCCACATCTCTTCGTCACGCTCCGTATGACCACAGATGCTTCTCCTAGCAAGTCCTTTATTAGTTTTGAGGAAATTCGGGTAACATTTGCGCAGCGTCTTTGCATGAAATCAGACGGCCCTTTCCCACCCTGTGTCATATCCAATTTCTCCCTCCCACATTGTACCCCAAAGATCAACCTGATGTCGTTGTGCGCAAATGGTAACTTAGCTCCACCGATGTGGAATTTTCTCATCTTCAGGGTTTGTAAGTTTGTATTATCCACATACCGTCGCATCACATTTTTTGAACATTTTAGGATCACAGCTCGTTAGCCCGAATAGCATCAATCATCAGCCAAAATGGCGTTTCTCTGCAACTTCTGTGACGTGGGCATCGCGTAATTCGAGTTCCAGAACTGTCTAATCAGCCCGGATATGTTTGAACGGTACATTAATTTCAACGTATCAACAACAGCTCTCTGAAAAGATCACCCGCCCTTTCTGTTTCTTGAAAGGGAGCTTTTGCTTGTCGTTTACTGGGTTGCCTTGTCGATGTGTGTTGGTGACCTCAAGCCAATTTTCCGTTTTACCAGTCTACTGCCACTGCTACCTGAACATGTTTTACATTCAAATCAGAAGAAACAAATTAAAACTGCCAACACAAAACATTAAAATGTCATGATCCTTACCATGAAAAAATGAATCTTTTACACCACCACATGTTCCGGCATCAGGCAATTTTACCAGAAGAACACCAACTTTTATGCCCCATGTCATGCCATCAAATTAAAATCTGAACTCAAACGTTAACATCACACAGGCAAACTCTGATTTTCATCTCATCGCGCACTAGCAACCAGTAACATACTGCATGCATTATATGCAAAGTACTAACCACTATCACTTCCCAACTAACTAATTATATTGTTCTGTACTAAATTTTGTACAAATGCAACGAGCTGTAGCTATGCATTTCAACATATAACATCCAACATTAAAGTGAGCTACGTAGATTATGTCAATGGATTGAAGAACATTACAAATGCGTCACCACTTCAATATGATTTTCACAACATCAAAACACGCTACATTAACATGATTACGGACTACGCATTGGCAGCAAAACGTAAACAAAAAATAAAAGGGCCCCGATTTTGAAATTGTGATTACATCACCGACATGATTCTTGCACAACATTATACTTTTGCTTCGATGTAAAAAACCAAGGAAAAAAATACACCCCCCCACATGTTAAGATAGTATACACCAACAAAAATAGGTAAACCATGTTCCCCAACCCCCTATCCCCCCCAACCAAATTCAGGGAAACCCAGTACACACTTGACCTAATAAATTGCATTACCATTTCATTTACATTTCACGCGAGTAACATTACGACAAAATCACAAAAAAAACCCCAACTTAACAGGACAAGAACATTGACAACCTACTTTCCGAGACAGACGCATGAATTTCTCAAAAATCGCACCCAAAAAACAACACTAGTTCAGCGTACATTTTTTTAACAATTTCATGTATTTCACAAATCCCACAACATTAACCACTTCCCATAATATGTCACCAATAACACCAACAACTTCGTAATGTAAAATGAAATCAAGGGTTTACGTACAGAGGCACTTAAACGATACCCTGGAACCATTGTCGGGCGCCTACGCAGGACTTCCGCTCGCTATTTCGAAGCACAGAAGTGTCACAAGCAACTACACCGCAGGGTTTGATGTATCAACAGCCGAAGGGGTTTTCGTATTTATGGGGATACGGTAAACACAAAATGCTATTCTGTTGACTGGAATTCACATCGTCAAGCAAATTCTGCAACTGCAATGCCTGACATGCCGCATTAACATCGGAGAACTGTTCAACCTCCATACACGACTCTTCGATATCGGGTTTGTTTGAGGGAAACAAATTTCTACAGAAGACAGGTTTGGGGCATTCCAGTCATTACGCGTGGGGGTTTACTTAATTACCCTTACTAAAACGTGTAAACATTACATTGAGGCGGGTTTAGTTGTCAATAACATTATTTTAG